TCCGTTCTTAAGATCATAAATCGTATTAACTAATGTTTTCCTCTAAGGTGAGTCTTCTTACATTCAAATCTCTGCATCACCAGGAATTTAAATACTCTACTGAGGATCCAGGTTGTTTTTGTTTGTTTTGCCAGGCAGATAGCCAATTATTAAATCAGGAGGTTTTAATTTAGGGCCACAATGAACTTGGGGTATCTTGTAACTTCCAGGAATTAAATATTAAAAAAATGTGTGTGTGTGTGTGTGATTTTTCTGGGGAAAAGGGTTACAGATCTTGTCAGATTCTCAGGGGTTTTGTGACTCACAGGAAAACCACGAGCTCTCTACTTTTTATAATCTGGCGTCCAGGTAGACTATGCATGTATGTTCCAGTGCATGAAACTGAATCCAAGCCAAGAGGACAGTTATTAAACAATTACAAGGGAGGCCTGAGCCATTGCTTCTGGGGGAATTCCTCTGTCACATGTCAAGTGAGAGTTGACTACCTTTGGTCTGACGATTTATTGAGTCAGGGAACAAGAGGTGACTCTCATGGGCTCTGCTTGGACCCTATAAAACTTTATGTTTTTACTCATCTGCTGACATATCAGTGGAGATAAATCATTTTGGCTAACAAAACGTGGGGCCCTCTTGTCAAATAATTTGAGGAGGCTTATGGAATAAATGATGAAGTGGAAAGGAAACTGGCAGGACAAAGAAGGTGGCAGACCCCTGTATACAGACTCAGACATTCATGTACTAAATAAATATGCAACACCCACTGTGTGGCAGGCGTGGTCTAGACTGGGGGTTCTAAAAGTGTGGTCCCTGGACCAGCTGTTTCACCATCACCCGGGTACTTGTTAGATGTGCATATTTCCAGGCCCACCCTAGACCTCCTGAATTAGAAGCTTTGGAGTTGGAACCCACCAATATGCTTCTTAATAAACCCACCAGGTGATTCTGATGCATGTCCAAGTTTGAGAACCACTGGTCTAGCTATTGGGGATGTAGTGGTGAAAAGACAGACAAAATGCCTGCTTTCCTCATGGAGTTGCCATTCCAGTGTGTGTGTGGCAGGGGAGACAGGAGACAAGTAAACAAATAATTGAATGTGATAATGTTCTGATGGTACTAAAGTGTATGAAGGAAAAAAAGCAGGGATCCCCCATTGCTTTTATGCTTTTTTAAATCTGAAATAAAAAAATGATAAGCAAGAGGAGATCATGCAAAGAGGGGCAGAAAAATAAATGTGTATACTTTAAGTAGAGGGAATAGCAGATGCAAAGGTCCTGAGGTAGGACTATGGGCTAGATAAGTAGCATGACTAGAACATAGTGAGGCAAGGAGTTTATAGTGGGTGGACTTAGGGAAGCAGGTGGTGGTAGCAAGCTTAGTTTTTGTTCTTAGAACAAGTCAGAGATACCAGACAGTTCTGAACAGAGACATGATCCGATTTTTCTTCCAGCAGGAACCCTCTTGAATGAACTATAGAGGGTTAGGGTAGAAGCAGGAAAATCAGCTAGGAGGATATTGCAATAACCCAGAAATACTGGTGCTTGGATGGACTAGACCAACGTGCAAAGATGTGTTAAGGGAAAAATAAACAACAATGCAGGACACTGTGCCTAGTAAATTGTTCTTGAGCCTATACACTGTATTCAGGTATATGAAGTCATCCCCCAGAAGGATCCAGAAAAAAGAGTTAATAGTGGTTATCTCTGGGGAAAAGGGATTAGGGAGGGTCATTTTATAGCCTTCTGGATGTCATGCATTTTTGTCACGTGTGTGAAGCATTACTTTTATTTAAAGATAAAATATTTTATTTTTTTTTTATTTTTTATTTTTTTTAAATTTATTTATTTATGATAGTCACAGAGAGAGAGAGAGAGAGGCAGAGACACAGGCAGAGGGAGAAGCAGGTTCCATGCACCGGGAGCCTGATGTGGGATTTGATCCCGGGTCTCCAGGATCGCGCCCTGGGCCAAAGGCAGGCGCTAAACCGCTGCGCCACCCAGGGATCCCCAAGATAAAATATTTTAGAATGAAAAATTGATGTTGCAGAAAATATGAAATAGAATAGGTGATGGGTGATCGGTATCAGAGAGAAGAAGCCCACCCCACAAGTGTTATAGTCCTTTCCAAGCACTGGCCCCTGAAGTTGCTGGAAAGGCAGGCTGACTGTGGGGTGAGCTCCTGTTCTTGGATTGTGATGGGATCACGCTACTGCCCGCTCGAGAACCACTAGGCCCTGTTTCTGTCCTGCCACTCTGGTGATGTTTGTGGCTTTCGGGTCTCCTCGGGCAACTAATACAATTTCCTGTGAATGCCTGCTGCGTTTCTCTCTGCCCTGTTTGTCAAATCGCTCCCCGGTCATTCTGGCACTTGGTTCACCATGAGGCCAGCATGCCCTTCATTTAATTGCATGATTTGGCATAAACAGAAGGAAATACTTTGCTAGGGGACAGAGGATAATGCAGCATCTGATTTCTCCTGTCAGCTGATTAGGATTTGTTTGTCCCAACAAGGTCAAATGAAATTAGAGAGAAAATGCAGTGTGTCTGGTGTGTGTCTGGTGTGTGTCTCAAATAACGGCATCATTTATGTAAACAGGACGAACAAAGAGGAATCTTAAAGCCAATGTTGACTCTCAGCCTCAAGATTCAAGGGACAGGAAGCCATCCGTGGCTTATAGGTTATGCCTGGAGAGAAAGAATATTGGGGACATTTTTAATTCTGTTGGTTCTGCTCTGGTTCTGCTTTCACGTTGGTAAAGTCGAAAAAGTGATGTCTGATTTTCAGAGGCACTGAGCACAGGATAAGTAAAACTATAGAAATGCCCCATTCTACCTTTATCACCCTGCTAAGGTTCTTCTAAGAGGTTCAGAGCCACTTTCTATAAGAGCAACCACTCAAGTGCTCCATTGTGAGTCAATCTCTTAGGATGTGGAAGGAAAAAAATCTCACCTCTGGAACCAGCCACAACATTTTCGGTGTGGATGACTCGGCCACGGCCACACCTCTGTGGGTAAACCTACCAGGCTTCTACTAGGGTTCTGCTGGCCCTGCATACAGGTTGTGGCCATTGCAGAAAAATGGTCTAAGAGCTTTGAGGGAAGAGGTGGTTTCTGTTACGGGATCTGTATAGGATCTGGCGTACCGTGGATGCTTAATGAGCAGCCCCCACAGCTATTGTTTCCACAGACTGTTTCCTGGCCCAGAGCTGGAGGGCTATTCTGAGGCCAGACTTCTCAGATGAGGCAACCCCCAGGTCTCTTCCCATGCTAAATAACAGGCCAGAAAGTATTATCATGTCTCATGAGTCAAAACATCCAAATGTATATTATTTAAAAGATAAATCGAGATGCTTGACGTGAAAGTTGAAGTAAATGTGAAACTTGGGGATGTTAAAGTGACATTTTAAAAATTTCAGTATTGAGAGGGATTATATTACAGTGAGTACCTGAAGGAACCGAGGAGTCACTATTACCCAGTATTTGTACAGTAAGATTGCCGAATACCAGATACACAGTAAGGAAAGTAAGTTTATATCAGTAGCTAGGGATTATATTTGCCTAAAAGCTGTGTAGGTGTGTGTGTTTTTTAAAACAGCATTTCACAACTGGATTTAACGGAAAACAAAACTAAAATAATTACTTAGACTTGCGCTACCCTTAAAAAGTGTTTTTAACGGTGCTTTCACACACTTGGGCACACAGGATCGTCACAACCCTGCTGTTGGCCTACAGGGAAGATGTTAGCAGGGTCCCTTTCATCTCCATTAGGAGGGTGGAGGGACCAGGGAGTCCTGAAGAACTGAGCTGCCCCGGAAGGGCCGACTGCATTGTGTGGGAAAGCTCCAGGGTGTGACCCTGAATCAGGGACACCTGCTTTTAAGTCACAGCCAAGGCTTTAATTAGGGGGAACAGCCTTGGTGAGACCCTGAGCTGCTTCTCTGTCCTCAGAATTTTTAGTTTGCTTTTCAATGGGCCTAGTTTCCCAACTCAGTGTTCCCTAACTTGAAAATCTATCACTCCATGTGCTGGGAAGTTAAGACGCACACTGGATGCGGTCTAATAATTCTCCAATACTGAGAAGATGATTGTCTGAAATATTTTTATGTTTTTGTGCTTCAGAAGGCCCTATGGAAATGTGCAGATCCTCAGGAAGATTATTATTATTTTTTACTTTTTACTTTTTACAACAAGATTTTATTTATTCATGAGAGACACAAAGAGAGAGGCAGAGACACTGGCAGAGGGAGAAGCAGGTTCCCTGCGGGGAGCTCAATGCAGGACTCGATCCCTGGACCCCGGGATCATGACCTGAGCCAAAGACAGACACTTGACAGATGCTCAAGTCACCCAGGTACCCCAGATTATGATTTTTTTAAAGTAAATCATGAGCACCTTTGAATCTGTGGACATGGGAGTTCATGGACGTTCCAAATTAATAAAATTTGGTGAAACCAACTCTTTTGGTACTTTTCAAGTCCCTTTTAGGAGAGCTGCAGCTTGCCCATTATTGGAGCTAGGGGATGTTTGTGCTTCTGTTCCAGAGGATGAGCTTCTCTGACACTCATCCCCTCAGGAGGCACAAAATGGCTCTCCGGATGCTACAGGAGGCGTTTGGAGGCTCCCACCTCCACCTTCCAAGGGGAAGTGGAGAACAGAGCCTATTTCCAGTTCTCACAGGTCAGTCTGTACCTGCCTGTCTGAATCATCAGGTGGGGGGGGAGGGCTTAGACACACACACAGCCCTCCAAGGCCCAGATGCCTACACGAGGAGGAGGGACTCTTCATCAGTTACAGGAAACTGTTAATCATGTTTCCATTTAGTCTCTTCCAAGATACACCCCGATCTGCATCCTTTCAATCCAATTTCCAGCTTCATCCCCTTTCTAGCCGAAGAGTTATTTGCACAGGCAGCTTCCTCCCTCCCTCACCCTGTCCTGGCCGTGGGCAGAAAGATGATGCCCGTTGTCCTTTGATGCAATCCCCGCCCCCGGGCGCCGGGCTCACCTGAGGATTCGTTAGCCTGGCCCAGCAGGGAGAGGCTTGGCCGCGGGGAAGGGACGGCAGGCTCACTCCGCAGCCCCGGCCTGGGCGGCCCAGAGTGACTTCGCCGTGCCCCCTGCGACGCACGCCCCGCCACACACAGACCCCGACACCCGTGCGGGGTGCCAGATGTCAGAGAAGGACTCTTTCACCCAGCAGCCTTCTGATTCCAGAGGAGCGTCTCTGAGCCGCGACCTGCTGTTTCCCCGGCGACTGAGCCTTCCAAATAAACAGGATTCTGCTCAGACAGGCCGGCAGTCCACTCGGCTCAGCGGTGCCCCGAGACAAGCCACGCTCACACCGGCCCGGCCGCTGCTGGCCGTCAGACCTGGGCACCGAGAGCTCGTGTGTGTCCCGGGGGGGCAGCGTGGGCTGCTGTCTGAAGGCAGGTCCCCTCTGCTGACAACCAAGGCCAGGGGGAGACGGAGAGCCTGACACTGCCCCCCCTCCCCGGCCTCCCCGCTTCCCACACAGCCCTGCGGGACGGTGGCGACTCTGTGGCACGGTCTGGAGGCGGACCGGCGACCTGATGCGCGTGCCACGGCCCGTCCCCTCTCCCCACACAGAGCTGCAGTAACCCAGAAGCTCCGAGCCGGCGTGGGGCTGCTCGGGAAGCAGCTGCAGCACAGCGACAGTGACTGGGAGCAGACGGATTCCCTCTCCCCTTGGACGAAGAGGCACAGTCCTCAGCCTGCAAGTTTTTCAGGTAAGAATCTGAGTCTCTGTTCTGGGGAACAAAGGACAGGTTACATGCAGAGCTGAGGGGGTGTGTGGGGTGTGTGGGGTGTGTGGGGGTGTGTCCAAGTGCAAGGACAACAACAACACGAGAGGGAAGATAATCGGGGAAAGTTGATGCTTTAAGCAGATACCACTGGGGGACACCAAGCAGCTCACCTCTCGCTCGGCTTAGACGATGGATGACGCAGACTGCTCTGGGGGAAGGGCTTGCTAACGGCCCAGGCAGGTAAAAATAGCACCCGGAGTTTAGAGATGGTAAAAATAATCATGCCCAGTGCTGCCCGGCACCTCTGTTCCTCCACTGCCAGGCTGGTGAGGACTGGAAAGGGCAGAAAGTTCTCATTTACTAACGGACTGGATGTGGCCCCTTGGGTTCGGCAGAAGCCAAAATCTGTGGCTTTGGTGAGTCCGGCTGGTGTTAGCCTGCTGTGTCATGCTCACCCTGGCGGAGCCTGGACTTTCAGCTGCCTCGGGAAGTCTGTTCTCCGGGTGGGCACCTCAGACTTTATCAACATTTGGGGAGAAAGGTCAGGCTGAAATATAGGATTAGCTGATGGTGATTCGACAGGCTGGCATTCTGTGGCCCCAGCAGCCCCCTGGGTTATTCCTTACCTTCCTTGTGATCTCCTTTGAAAATCACATCCTCCTCTCAGTACCCCTGCAGACAGGCACCAGCAGAGAATGGCTAGCCACACCCACGTCCGGATTACATGCCCCAAGTGTACAGCTTCTAGAGCGGAGCACTTGACAAGTCTAACCTCCAGGCCTGGGGTAGAATCCAGGTATCCAATCAAGTACCCATTTTTCAGAGACCCAAGAGGAACCCAGCTTATCTGGGTTCCCTCTGTGACTCTGCAGAATGTAAACACTCTGTGCTTTCTCCTGCTGTTTTAATCCACTCCCACTTTTCTGCATTCTTTTCTGCTTGGGCACTTTCCCTTTCATTCCCTACAGGGATGTGATTGTTTATGATTTAGCTCTGTGCACACCAGTGGGGGACGGGGACACAAGCATCCAGCAAAGGACAAGCCGGGCTCTGTGGGAGGCTGAGCCAGCCTGATGGGGGCAAAGGGTTGAAAAGAAATGAGCCTAGCTTTGCAAAGTGGTGTCTGGTGAAGCGCTGGCCAGCTGTTTACTGGGGCTGTGAGGGTGAATGAGTGTGGATTTTGGTGGAGACTGTGATTCACAGTCACAAATTCCCTTTTCCTTTGTTTTCTTTGTGTTGGTCATTGAGGGCTTCTGAGGAAATTCCCCTTTTGAGATTGTATATCTGAAGGCAAGATCATCAAATTGCTGCTGAGGGGCAGCTGGTGAACACTGGACACCTTCTTGTGTTGACCCTGCCTTTTTTAGTATGAGTAAATGGATTTGCAAATGAGGTACTTAGTCCAAAGCAAAGTTAATACACAAAGAATTAAGAAGAGAAAACACTGAGTTTCTTGTAAACTGCCTCCCAAATCTGGTGCAGACATATGTATATATGGCTTGGTTCTATAAAGGGTTTAAGGAGACACTATCTGCTTCATTAAGTGGTTTGACCTCACAGGCCAGTAGCATCAACCATGGTGATTATACTTGCAGTGGCGATGGTAGATGGACATCATATGCTCATTTACACTTAGGGAAGGGATGCCTGACCCCGGGACAGACAGTGTGCTTGCTTAATCTGCTGACATGCATTCTGTGGATCCTGCGTGAACTCTGGAGGATCATGAGGCTACCAGGCCTGCTGTGTTAGCTTCTAGGAATTTGTGATGCTGCAGAGTGGAGGCATACCCCTTCCACTTCATCAAATAGATGTTGCTTGGCTAATGTAATACTCCTTGATCTGAGCTACTGGATAAATCATCTGTAGTCATTTGTGTCACAGGCATACCCTGTTTTAGGTAAGTCTACACCTACACATAACACAAATTATAGGCGAATGAGTTTCTTTCCCTTGAAAAAGGATCTGCTGGGCAGCCCCGGTGGCCCAGCGATTTAGCGCTGCCTTTGGCCCAGGGCATGATCCTGGAGACCCGGGATTGAGTCCCACGTCAGGCTCCCTGCATGGAGCCTGCTTCTCCCTCTGCCTGTGATTCTGCCTCTGTGTGTATGTGTGTGTGTGTGTGTGTGTGTGTGTGTGTGTCATAAATAAATAAATAAATAAATAAATAAATAAATAAATAAAATCCTTTTTAAAAAAAGGATCTGCTAATCAACAAATGTTCATCGAGTAGAGACAAGGTGTCCCATCTAAAGTTACAACTGGATCAAGCCCATGCAATGGCAGAGAAGGGAGGGCACCTACCTGGGTGGGCTGGTAACAGAGCATTCTCTGGCCTGGACTGACAGGATGTCTAACTCAGCTGGGAGGCAGAGTCCAAGGTATGGGAATAAGGATAAGCATCTGGGCCAGTGGGAAGGGAATAGTCATGGTCTGATTCCTAAATATCACTACTTAAGAGAGGCAGCCTAACAGGGTGGCCAAGGGCATAGATTCTGCAGCTGACTCCCTGGGGCTTGAACCCAGACTGTGCCATTTATTAGTCCTGTGGCCTTGTGCCTCAGTTTCATCATCTGTAAAGTGGGATAATAAAGTACCATTCTTGTCGGTGAAAGGATCAAATGAGTAATGCTCTGAGCACCGTGCCTGCCTTATAGCGAAGACTATGTCTTTGCTATTATTACTGAAAGGTGGGTCTTAAAAGGGTGTCCACAAGTCCATTTATTCCAAAGTCCGAAGTGACCCTCTATGAGTGGCCACTAGGGACGCCTTTTGGGCAGCATGGAGGCACTTTGGCACTGGCATGGCGTTTTGCTTGTATCTCTGAGCATTCCGAATTCGAAGGGCTTCTGTGCTGGTTGCCAGCGTTTCCTGAGCCCTTACTCTGTGCCAGGTACTCTGCTTGGCTTAATGCACAATTGCTCAAGACCACCTCTCTTTGTCCAAGGAATGCTAGTGATGGGGGCAGGTGTGAGAGGCATTCCCACCTTGTGCCAGGGAAGTGTAGATGTGGGGGCTCCTTTGGAGAAGACTCATCTCAGTCTCTCCAGGGCCTGCGGTTTTCAAACTTTCACATGCATAACAATCACAATGGAGCTTTTTTTTTTTTTTTTTAAATCAGTTACCTAGCTTTAGCCTGGTTCCTGAGGGACCCAGGATTCTGCATTTTCTTGGGGTGGGGGTGGTCCAGGGGATTCCGTCTTTGGTCCAAGGGCCACAGCTAAAGTCTGATCACTGCTCTGGTTCTTTTCTCTTCGTTACTGTGAACAAAAACACAGAGCCATTTGGCTTCTATCAGTGACAATGAGTCTCTTCCTTGTCATCACCTTCTTCTGGAATGACCATCTTCCTGGGACAAGCCCTCCCCTGATAGTAAGATGGACGACAGCACACCTGCTGCACCCTGACTTACTACGTGCCTGGCACACTGCAAGCCCTCCATCTCTACCCTCACTTGGTCTTCACAGCCATCCCAGCAGTTAGGTGCAGTCCTTACCCACCTTTTACAAGGGAGGGCAACGGCCCCACTGCTAGTAAGTGGCTGATCTGGGGTATGAACTCAGGATGAGCCAATTACCATGGCAGCGGCTTGTGACCTCTAAGCCAGGCAACAAGCAAAGTTTTAGCTGTTCATCAATTTGGTCTTATCTTCTCGCTCTTGGGTTCACACTCCTCTCCTGTCCACTTCCAGTGCTAGGCTCCCATATAACTTCCTCAGAAGAGAAGGTGTCCCTGTGCTTCCCTATTTTTTTCTCCTTCAGTAACTCAAAAAGGGTTGGGGCGATGGATGGGTGGAAGGAGATGTTATGAGGTGAACTAGGCCCTCTGCTTAAATTTACACACTGAAGTCCTAACTTCCCCTCTGCTCCCGAATATCAGAATGTGACCTGGCTTGGAGAAGTCTTTACAAAGAAATTCAATTTTAAATGATGTCGTTAGGGTGGGACCTAATCCTCTATGACTGGCATCCTTATAAAATGGGGAAATTGTGACACAGAGACACATCTAATGGGATGACATGAAGACACAGGGAAAAGAGGGCCATCTACAAGTCATGGACAGAGGCCTGGATCCCTCCCTCACAGGCTCAGAAGGAGCTAGCGGCCATCTACAAGATGGAGAGAGGCCTGGAACAGCTCTTTCCCTCACTGCTCTCAGGAGGAGCCAGCCCTGCCGATACCTCAGTTTTGGACTTCTGGCCTCCAGAAGTATATATACTGTATACTTCTGTTGTTTAAGCCACGCAGTCCATGGTACTTGGTTATGGGAGCCCTAGCAAACTATGATAGTGGGAACCAGAGTCCGACATTCCCCCTGCAGGCCCTGAGTTTGGGGTAATCTAGCTTAGGTCAACGCATCATACCAAGCTATGACAATGATCTCTTGCTTTAACTTGTGACTGTTCTTCTGTTGGCTTAAACAGTGTTCACAGGAGTCACAGGTAGGTCCAAGTCCCAGAAAAGAAGGAGGAATGAATAGCAAGAATGAGGAGGGAGGAGGTAAGGAAATGTAAAGAAACAAAGAGGCAGGAAGAGAAAAAGGAGAGAGACTGGGGACTGGGACGGGGGATCCTAGAGGGTCATTAATGCTCACTTCGGGTCCATTTCACTCATCTGTGGGATACCACCTGTGTGCAGGGAGCATGTGCAGCAACACTACGGCTACAGAGCCTGGAATGGATGGGTCCCTACCTTCATGGAAGCTAGAGACCAGGTAGGGACACAGACTTCAATCATGTAGTACTTCTCCTGAGTGTCTCAGGAAAGCAAAAGCAGTACCAGGCTCAGTCAGAGGGGTCTAGAAAAGCTTTGGTGAGCTCGTGATGCCTGGATTCAGATGTGGGGCGACTGGCAAGGGTCCACTGGGTGAGACATGAGTGTTTCAGATGGAGGAAAGAGTATGGCCAAGGTCACATGGGATGAGGAAGTGTGGCATTGCCAAGGAGTGGAGGAAAGGCCAGTGTGGCTGAAATGCAGGGAAGA